AATGTTACGTTAGTCTGTACTTAACTACGTATTTCCTTAAAAAATGCAACATTTTAACTCGGTTTTTGGTAGATTTTTACGTGACTAACATAAGGCTACTGTGGAAGTGCCCATTTCGGTTACAACGACATTCGTTTATAACGACACTATTTTTAGGTCCCTTTGATGACGTTATAACCAAGTTCTACTGTATTTATCTTTGTCAGCAGCGAAACCTTTAATAAACTGTCAGATTGAACTAAGTGGATAGAATCATCCACACTACCACCATATGATCCATGTTACGTTATCCACCTCACGCTACTGATAAACAATTAAAACCATAAGTGACTGACTACTAACTAACTGACTATGGGGTTCCTTGTTACCTGTTCAGCTGCTCTAGAAATTACATGCTTTTAAGCAACCTAAAAAATCATTACTGTGTTTGCAAAAGCCTACTTTGAACTTTATCCTTAGCCAGCTGAATTCAGTTTACATTCTTGCATCCAGTTTCTCTACAATCCATTTTAATGTTTTCCTCCACTCTGGTTAGGTTTCCCAAATGATCACTTCCTATGAGGCTATATACATTGCTTGTCTCCCTCGTGGTGTGCTACTCACTCTATGCATTTAATTTTTGATGTAATCACCTATCAGTGTGAGATGAGTTTTAAATAGGTAGGCATATGTTATCTGTTACATGATGTAACTTATTAATTCATTGGGATCATAAAGTGCACTATGTCATGGGTAAGCCTGATTTCAGTGCATGCTTAAATTTGTTTTAGGAAGTGCTCCTTCATCACGGCGTAACATTGCAAAGGAGTGTTCAAGCTCCTCACCTTGTGGTCTACAGAACAATAATAATGCACCATCCCCCAAAGTTCAGCGCAGTAATGGCTCACCATCCCGAAGTGTACGGCACAGTAATGGCTCTCAGCGCAATAGTATGACCCGACGTAACATTCAACAGCGGTCTTCATCTCCAACAAAAAGAATTTCTCTTAAGTATGTTTGTATTGTAATACTATATTTTTCTGTATTATTGCCTCTTACAGTATCAGATGTTTCCACATTATCTGAGGACAAAACTAAGTCCCTTTAAGGTCTGCATTTAAGACATATTATTCTGTGAGAAAATTACAAAACGTTAAGGTATTTGAAAATAAAATTAAAGGAAAATGTCTGGAGTAGGTTAAATAAATGGGAATGATATAAACATCATAAGAAAGTAACATTCTGAGGCAGTTGTAATGGGGAATTTTGATGGGGACACTTCTGGAAAATTCCTGCGTAGAAGATGTAGACAGAGTTCAGAAGATAAATACTGAAATTGATTGTGATAATATGCAGTGGATTGAACTAGCTAAGAGTACAAGTAGGATCTTGTGGGAGTTTTTGTTTTAATGGTACTAAATATGTGGTTTATAATAGCAAGTAGAATTAGTATAATATTACACTTATTTTGATATTTAAATGTGTAATACTAAGTGTAGCATGTTAAAATTTATCATTAGATATCATTGTTCTCATAATATAGGATTGGAGGTCAGCAGTTATTGACTGAAATATAACTATTGTCTCGTAAACTTCTGAGTGTTTAGTACTGAAACAGAATTGTCAGGCTTTTTAATCTATTCTGTAGGAAAGTTGGTGCTGTTGGGAAGGATGAGTCCGTTACAGAAGCACAGCTGTCGCAGAAACAGAATTCAGCAGACGAGAATGTGCAGGATATTTTCTCATCTTCCTGCAATATCACTTGTATTAACCCAGTTGCAAATAAACTTACTGGATCTGTTCTTGCCACTGTGCCAGTCGTTGCTGTTAGTAAAAACAAAAGCAAGAAGATAGAAGTTAAGTCAGACAGGTGAGAGCAATATTTGTCCCTTATTAATTACAAACTGTGGTTATAAAGAGCTTAGTATTACTGGTTTTGAAAAGAGTTCAGAGGTGCATGGTTGATAAACTAATTTAGGAGCTGTTCACACTTCTTCTTAGTCATGATAGCCAAGAGGCTTTTTTTTTTTTTCATTCCTTCCAGGCAAGTGCCAGGATAGTGCCTTAATTAGGTCACAGCCGGTTCCTTCTAAATCCTTTCAGATTCATCGTTCATCACTCTTTCTATGATTTGACAATCTACAGTCTTGATACTGACAGCATCATTAAATAACGAAGTAAAAAAATTAACCAAGGTAGCTGGTAACCTGGATGAGATTCAAACCAATCATTCTTGAATAAATGTGTAGAGCATTACTACTAACAAAGAGATATTATAAAGAGAAAATCAGCAGTGTAAAGGGCTATTGTTCTTCTTGTAGCAGGGAATGATAAAAAAATGTAAAGATAAAGTTATCCTTGTAACAGGCCATGAAGGCCGATAGGGTTATGAGATACTGAGGCTCCCACATCTTCCAAACATTCAGCTCACAGATGGCTTTAAGGTTGTCAGTCATATGAGCTGGCCACCCTTTAACCCCCCAAGGAAGATTCCTGGTATTCATTTCTGTTAGATGCTGTGTTGACCCCAGGGCTATAATGTGGCTGGAGGGATTAGGTAAATTGAAAAAATTCAGTGATCTCATTGGAAATTGAACCTACAAGCTCCCAGCTTGTAGCATAGTGCCTCAACCAGCTATGCGTGTCCCCCCAGCGGGGAATGATAGCTGGTTTATTTATGACAGTGGATGGCAGGTAGCATTGATTGTTTATGCATAATACTGTCCCTAGACATGCTATGCAGTTTAAGTATACTTTGGCTAATTAGAATAAACAGCACATATAAATTGTGTGTGTACTTGTGTTAGTATTAAAAAGGTTAATACATAGCAGTGTGAGTTTGTTTGCTGTGTTCTTCACCAGAAATGTGATGGATGATGTCTGGTTCATAACCAGTTTTTGTGACATTTTTTCTGTATTCATGTAAATTAATTTTGTAGAAGAATATTTGAAAGAAGAGTTCATGACTGTAATAAGATGGGATTTGAATGAGAGGTTGGGGAATAGACAGTTATGTGTATACGTATTTGGATGAAAAGCTCATATTGTGTGATGATGATAACATTATTATGAAGAAAATTTTATAATGTGCTTCTAATAGTTGGCAAACCCAAGGTCTGAAGCCTGATGTAGGATAAAAACACCATCAGTTTTGTCAACATTGTGAAATTCTTTAGAATGAAGAGAATATAAGAACATCTTTAGTGATAAATGCTTTCCATGCAGGCATATATCACCATGGAAAAATATTGAAAGTGTTTTATATACAGGATCTTTCACGACTTTGGGGCATAACTGCAGGAGGTGATTTCCTAGGTCTTTGTGATCAAAAAGTTCATATAAACATGTGTCCGATTTTGGACTGTTACAGACTTATGACCGTTTTTTCATTCCCATACACGCCCTCGTATGAACCGCGTCTGTCAGCTGGCAGGTCACTATTTTTAGCCAGCTACAGACAGAGCAGTCTCGTTATCTCGACACTTGAGAGCTACCTAAGGTGGGGGGGGGTTGGTATGTCCGGCGCGGTTCACAACCGAGCGGCAGCCTGTGTTGTAACTGGCGGTGACATTTTCGAAAATCAGCTTTAAGCACCAATCAATTCAAATTAAAGGTAACTTCACGAAGTTAACTTTACATTCATACTTTAAATATATCATGTATTATGTTTGTTTATTATTTTGTTCTGTTTATTGTCAGTAATCGTTACCTTCTATTCTGAGTTTAAAGCGGTCATAACTCCATAACTGTCCAAAATCGGACACATGTTTATGTGAACTTTTTTGATCACAAAGACCTAGGAAATCACCTCCTGCAGTTATGCCCTAAAGTCATGAAACACACTGTATATGCTGGTAGTGGATACATCAGTAGAATTTAGCAAAATTATGTAACAAATGGTACAGAACTTGTCTCCAGTGAAAAGCTATATAATTTATTTACCAGTGTGTAGATTCATGGTGATTGATATTATAATGGGAGGCTTCCTGTCAAATCCTGTCAAGTTCTGATTCTGTTTTTCCTTGTCCTTTGAACCCACCGGCCTCCATTGTCAAAATTCTGTGACAGGACATGACATTTAAATCAGATCATCAAGATTCGTAAAAGAAATCATGTGGAAAGAGCTGAAGGAAATACATTTGGCCTTGCCAAGTGTCCTGCCATGGAAACAGAAATCATTAAACAGATCTGAGCAATCAGATTGTAAGAATAACATAGCTATGATTTATGAGGAATCTTCACGTTCCTGGCTAGCTGATAATAATCAGCTGACAGCCAATGTTAGCCTCAAACAAATGGTGAACGTGAAAAATAGAAAATTGATAAAGATATTGTGCAAAGTAGCAGACAGAAGTACTTACTGAGGTCTGTTCCTGTGCGAGCGTTTCTCTATTTTCCAACTGTACACTTTACTTATTAGTTATAATTGTGTAAAATCATCCATGTGAGCTTTGAGTGAATTTTTTCTTCCAAAGTCTAACCCAATTAACATTCAATAAAATGTTGGTATTAATGTGTAGATTTATGCATTCTGGGATATGACACTGTGTAAGCAATTGAAAGTCAACCAGCATTTTGGAGGAACATGTTGTCTAACAGGTTCCTCCAAAACATTGGTTGACTTTCAACAGACTACATGGCATTATATCCCAGAAGATAGAACTCTTCATAACTCACCACTGTGATAACTCAAATCCTACATATTAATGTGTGTGTGGGCATTTGTTTTCCTCATAGGAGTAAACTTTCAACATTCTTCAAGGATAGCTTTACTCCCAGCATACCTAGTATGGCCCTCATACTCAGTAGTGCAGTGTGAGTAATAGTTTCTGTACAGTCTTCAGGTTGCCTGTTCACCATTTGCACCATACAGTTTGCTTTGTTATTTGTTGCACTGCATTATGCTTTTGTTTTATACTCTTTGCTTGGACAGATTCACAAAGTGGGTTTATGTTAACAAATAAATTGTGCATGTAAAAATATGAATAATTGAACTGGAGTTTACATTTCAAATACACCTTTGGTATTCACATTCTGCATATAGTTCATAACATGTAGGAGCTAGTTACACTTTCCTGGAAACTTTCACTAGGGTTTTAGTAGATTGCAGTACAGAAGGACTGTTGTTTCAGTAATTCCTTGATTTATGGCAGTTACATTATATTTGCGTCATAGCTCAAGTGGTTAGTCACTGGCTTCCCACTGTGGCAGCCCGGGTTTGATCCCGGGTCTGGTCAAGTGGGATTTGTGGTGGACAAAGTGGCGCTGGGGCAGTTTTCTCCGAGTACTTCGGTTTCCCCTGCCAATCTTCATTCCACCAATTGCTCCACAATCACCCTCACCTATCATCTGGGGCTGGTACAATAGACCAGAAGTGGCCACAGTACAAGGGACTTAGTCCCACCCCACTAGCAATAAAAAAAATACATTATATTGGTATTGCAGTGTGAAAGTTTCTTTCACATTAATTCATTTTAAGGTCACTTTACTAAGAGGGGCTGCGCAACAGATCATTAAAAATTGTGGTGCAAGTACCGATCTAGGTCTACCCCTTATGTTTTCGCTCATTCAAGTCCATATTGAGGGCTTAAATACATGTTTATTGTTTTTTCCAAGTATTAAACTGAAAAATAACAATTATAGGGACACATAAATACATATGTTATGTTTTCCAAATTATTTCCACAGAAATTACTCCTTTCAAGAGATCACTATGTATACCTGTGCAGCAGATGTCACACATAAGTGAAACACCCTTTAGTGCTGTCTTTTATTTTATTTTATTTTATTTNCGTGTGTTATATTGCTGGGCCTGCTGGGTATGTGTGTGTGTGCTGTCTTCGTTTTTATTTTATTTTATTTTATTTTATTTAAAAAAATTTTTTTTTTTTTTGCCAAACAAAATTATTTTGTAATTACAAATCGACTTTAGTAGTTTCTGCTGTTATAAACTTTCACACTCCTTTCATGTATCTGTATAGTGTCTAGTGTAATGATAAACTAGTACCATATATGTGTGTGGGGGGCTGGGGTAGTTATATGTATGCATGCTTGCATGCACGCAGTAAAATAGTACAAGGAGATAAATAATTTGAAATTTTTTTTCCTGTACAACCCCCCCAAAGTTTGAAATGTATATGTGGTGCATCATTGCAGTCTGTCTGGAAAAAACTTAGTTTTTTGAAGACTTTAGATGAGATTGTTATTAACCTAAATAGAAATCTCAAGCACTGGACATAATGTGTTATTCTGGCCTGTCTGGGTAAGATTTCATTGGCTTTCCAGTGAAACTGGTCAAACAGTTTGTCACTGTTCAAGAACTTATGGCTTTGAAATTAGAGAAACCTTCCTGAACTGAACATTCTTGTATTTTAATCTAAGTGTGAATGTAGATCCTGAAGGGTTCCGATGATGGTGTATAACACTCGGTGTATTACTCAGTTTTCAGGCTTTGTCCATCGTCTGGTATTCTAAAAACTAGAAAACACAACACTGTTGGTTCCGTTAGAAAGAGCTAACCTCAGTTACTGATTGAAGTTATGGACCCAGCAGAGTAGGTGTCTCCCCCCTCACCTGAGGATTGAAACGGATCCAGTTTCCGAAATGTGTTCTCTAGTTTTTAGAATCCCAGATGACAGACAGAGTCCAAAAACACAGTAATTCTGAGTGTGAATGATTTGGTTGGGCAAAACTGCATTTATAAAAGACTTTAGTTACTTATAAATTTATGTTAGGTCAAATTTTTTATCTTGTGATAGATGATTAAGTGACTGATTTCATTTGTTTCTCAGTATTACTTCTGAAGAAACTTACGACCCTTATGTTTCGGCTGAGCGCCAAATGATGGAACTCTTATCTCATGGAAATTGTCCAGAGAAAGAAAAGAAACAGCGAAAGCAACAGCAGCAGCAGCAACAACAACAAAAACAACAACAACAACAACAAGCAGCACAAGTGAAAACAGAACAGGCTGTTCAGCTTGCCCCAGTTTCTTCCATTTCCCCAGCACCTCATGAATTGCGTACATCGCCAACTTCTGCATTTACAAAATACTCCTCTGTCAAACCAAAAACAGATATTCCATTGACAATGAATAGGTCAGCACCTGATTATCATTCATTTGATTCTGATGCGTTGATTGTCTCAGGACATAATACTGGTTCACCACCATCACTGCATAATGTCTCTGTTTGTACATCCACTTCACAATACGATGAGAACAGTGATAATATAAATAATAATAGAGATTTCACCATCAGTCTCAGCAATCTCAGTCTTTGTTCTGTGCCAGACTTTGATTTTAACTTGGAGTTTGACATAAACATGATTAACCAGAACAGTAACAGGAGTAAGAAGTACAGAAAGAAGCTTGAAAATGCTGCTCTAGCTTTGCAGCGCTCAGTATCTCTCTACCATCCAGGACCTACAACAAAAGACGAGATTCAATTAGAAATAGATGATGTAGATAATTCTCTTTTACATATATCTGAGATTGAAGGTGATGCTAGTCCATTACGTCCTGTATCTTCTTTTTCCCTTTCCAGTCTTCATCCCAAACCTGTAACCACATCCTCCTTGCCAAGTTCCCAGGCTGCTGTTAATTCTGAAGAATTGAGTGACAAATTGGAGGCAAGTAAACTTCATGGGCCCAGCAAGAAGAGTGCAATGATTCTTCATGCAGAAGATGAGTTCGCTTCAGAAGACAATCACATTAATTATCGATCTACTGGGAGTAAGATTAGCGGAGATTCAGCATATAGCAGGTAAGCATTCATACATGTAATGAAAGCTGTTAATTATGAAAGGGTAGTATCCTGCATTGTCTCATCTGTTAACCAATACAGATATAATAACAAAACAAAATTGTGTAATAAAATCCTGTTTGTCTTATCAGCCATGTCAAGGCTTAAAAATGACTAGAGTTTCAACTGATATCAGATTATGTAACATTATTCTTCCACTTATACTTAGATATTCCAGTAAATCTCTTGCCACGAGGTTTTCCTTAACCAAAATTGTGTAAGTAAATTATTCACTTGTTCACTTTCAGTACCATATTCTTGAAATTCCTCCACTGGACCCTGGATTGAGTTAGGTGAATCCATACCACATTCTTACACCCAGTTTCTTTAAGATCAATTGTAATATTGTCCTACATGTACACCTAGGACTCCCAAATGGCCTTTTCATCCAGGTTTTTCAAATATCATTCTGTATGTATTTTTCCTATGTTTGCTAGATGTCTCACCCATCTTATCCTCCTTGATTTTATCACTATCTTTTTTATGTTGTGATTTTGTCCTGCATGCCCTTCAATATTTACATTACATTTATAGTATACCCGTTGCTAGACAATGCCTGCAACACACGTGGCCAACAGTACAGGAACAGTGTTTTCTATGTCCACAGATGGACCGTTGCTATGCAATGCACCAACACATGTGAAGGCTTTAGTTTATTATTAAAAACCATTGTTGCATTTGATGGAATATAATCCTAAATTTACTTATGCTAAAGGATGCACTGGCTGAGAGTGATGTATATCATAAAAATTAAAACCTTAATGCCAGTTGCACATGAGATGGCGGCAGACACATGAATAAAAAGCGGACACAGTGCTAAAGGATTCTGCAGTACAATATTTTGATACTGAGAGGTCTACAGTAGAAGTTATGAGGTGAATTTAAATTTGGTCCATATTGAACTGATATAAGGGGCACGCGGTAATGTAGTTTGTTGAGGCACTATGCTGCAAGCTGGAAGGTCGCGGGTTTGAGTCCTGATGAGGTGGATTTTTGTAATTTATCTAATCCTTCCAGCTGCACTGGGGTTGACTCAGACTCTAACAGCAGTGAGTACCAGGAATCTTCCTAGGGGGTAAAGGATGGCTGGAGTGTAAGGCTGACAACCTTACTGCCATCTGTGAGCCGACTGTCTAGAGAAAATGTGGGAGCCTTGACATCTCACAACCCTATGGGCCGTCGTGGCCTGTTACAGGGATACCTTTACCTTTACCTTAATTGAACTGATATATCCCCTGTCTGAATTTGAACTTATGATTTTTTTAAAAAGTGGCATACAAAGAACTGACACACAACACAATATAGATCTTATGAAGCTACAACTTTCATTCGTAACATTTTTGACACAGTGTGTATATAGTGAAATAAAAAGAAAATTAATTTGTTTTGTATGGTATGGTACTTGTAAACCATTTTCTGCAAACCATATACAATAAATGAACATCAGAACCAGTAATATTTGCAAAATCACAAAGAACATGTCGGGACTCTAGTTACTGGGGTTTCTCTTTCTACTGTTGTCCTCGGTCATCTGATGATAAACTATTGTTGTTTTGATTAAGCAGAATAAAGCTGCACAATATAATCCTGATCCATAAAACATTTCATAGTTTGTCAGTTTACACAAGTATAAAATATGAAACTTTTGTACACTTGCACTAGGTTGACTTTCTTGAAAAAGGTGCATTTGTTCTGATTCATTCAGTTTGAATCGAAAGTCCCCACTGGCAGATGTTAACTCACAGGGGCTGGAAAGACACTCAGAAGTGACACTGGATGCTGATCACCAGTGCCTGAGCTCAAGTGGATCAGAGTCATCCCTTCCACCACTGTTTTCTCTTCAGGTTTGTACACTCATGTGTTTCTGTTGAAAAATAAATGTGTGTTGAAATATATATGTTAAACCAAAGTTTCATCATTCTATAACATACTTTCTCCTTATACCAATGTGGTGTGTCACATCCATTATTTTGAGATATTTCATATATTTATAAATATGTTATATAAATATGTATGTTATTTATACATTTCCACAATGTTGTACATATTTTGACCANCATATTTATAAAGACAAATGCGTGTATGTTATTTATACATTTCCACAATGTTGTACATATTTTGACCAAATGTAGCATGATGGTAAATGACCTTCAGGAGATTTTAGACACTTGAAAATGTGCATTCTTTCAAGTCCAAACCACTTTATTTCCTCATTGCTTCCTTTATAAGAAAGGCATGAGGATCTTAACAACAGATGATCGCTAAAACGTGGGGAAAAGCCTGGACTGTCTGGTGTTGTTGGTAAGAAATGGTGGAAGCCCCAGACTATCTTTTGCTATAAGTAGAATATGGGTGAAGAATCACACCATCTTCTACTGTGTCTAGGATACGGGGGAAAATTCCAATTAACTTCTACTGTTACTAGAATGTGGGGGAAAATCCAGAGTATCTTCTGCTGTTGCTAATATATTGGAGAAAACCCTGTCTGTCTTCTGCCATTGATAGATTTATTTAAATAGATTTATTTAAATTTTTTTCCATAAACTTGTGGATTATGCCCAGGCAACACTGGGGAGATATGCCAGTATTTAATATACAAGAAAATTTGATAAGTGGCTGTACAGTTCTCTTTAGGTGATTAGGTAATTTTACTTTGAGATATTTTTATCATATTTGATCTCAAGATTATTGGCAATGGTTAGGATCAAATTCAGGACCTTTGGTACACTAAACTAGCTTCCTAACTACTGGAATTTTGGAGCAGTCATGAGATCAGGTCAAAATGTGGCAGTTTTTGATACACTGTTCGCTTTGCCAGTTATATTTTTTTTGAAGAGGACTTTAGGTACACGTGTTTGAGGCTGTAATTTTTCATTGTGATGAAAATCTACAGTTCTAGTTCACTGACTTTCCTGGCTTCTGGCCACACAGCGAGATGAGGGAATCATGGTTAACTTTCTGATGTGGGAATACCTTTGAGGCAGATTCATATTCTAACAAATTTATGAGATATTACTAAATGTTATTTGAGGAAGTAATGATGACTTTGTTGGTACAGGTGGAAAGAAATCGTAGCAGAAGTCCTCTCCTCACTTCGTCTTCACCACCAGTGATTCAGTCCAATTTAGGTCAGCAGCCAGCACCAAGAATGTCAAAGTTCTGTCATGAATGTGGCTCAAAATATCCTGTCACTGTGGCAAAATTCTGTTGTGAGTGTGGAGTGAAGAGGCTGCTCTTCTGAATGTGTATGAATTACGTCAGGTGCTTTAAAAGCACAGTCTGCCCCAAGACAAGCCTTTAACCTCACATATGAGAAATATATTATTCACAGGTCCTTTGGAAGTGCCATTGTTTTTTATCTCGGAAGGAAATAAGACATCAGTAATTTTTGTTAATTTTGATGTTTAAGTATTTTTGTAATTTATGTAAGAATGTGATAGTTTTTCATCTTATATGTAATGAAATACCATTATTTTTTAGGAAATGAACTTAACAATGATTGAATGTTTGTGTCTTACATATTACATTGCCACAGGAGCTGGGCACCTGCTGACAGCCTTTGCCGATTAACTGGACAGTTGCTTCATGTAAGTCTGCTCTCTGATGCACTGAACCCACTAACTTCTGGTCTCTTCTGTTCTGCACAGAGCAGACCTGGTTCTTGGATAGGGAAGGGCTTTGCGGCTACAGTTAGAGGTACATCACCCTTCAGGAAGTTTCTGTAAAGTTCTTGGGCAACCTCAGACTTTGGCATCAGCTGAGCAGTTTCTCAGACAGTCAAGATGTGACAAGGGGCATGTGCAGGCCAGGCAATGTAGTCCCTCTGTGCTCATCTCCATCGACAATATTGATGTAATAGCAATGGAAAGTACCTTGGTGTACAATACTGTCATGAGTTTAAGTAACTAGACATAGGCCCTGGATTGATAATTGGCTTTCTTGGGCTCTTATAAGCTGTAACTGCAAGTAATTCCCTAATTGACACTCTTTATAATTCACTGTAAGGCATTAAATCTTCTCAGTTCATCAGTAGTTGTTGCTTAGTAATGGCTTCTAACAGTGTAGATTCCTCACCTTCCATGTTTAACAGCTGCTATCCTCACTGGCTGGTGACTGTCTCACACCTGAGCTGTTCTTCAAATACCCTCACATTCTTGGCTTCTGGGCCACAGCTCACTGACGGTCAGTCGGCAAGTCAGTCTTGCTGTCAAGCTCCATCTGGAGCCCGAGGCAAGAATTATGTTACTGTCAGCCAGTTTTGGTTTTTTCAATGTTGGGAGCCCTCCACGATGAGAGGAATTGGTCGCGGTCAATACCAGTAGTACATGTCATCTATATTTATTGTTTTACGTGTTGGCATTCTGTGTAGCCAGTAGTCAGGATTCCAGTTCCTTGTTGATACCTGCTATTTACAGTTTTACATGTAACTCTGGTATGTACAGTATATACAAGGCCTCTCTCAGTCTAGGCTTGGCATAGCAAATCATGTCCTAACTCATGTACCTCATGTTACAGTGTCTGCCTGGTGTCTTGGATGGTCATATGCTTGGACCACCATTAAGCTTAAGAATCTCTATTTTCTCTGTTGGTCTTCGCCTTTTACGATGTCATGAACATTTGAATTTTCATGATTTTGTATGAAATCTGCTTGTTGCCTGCACAATTTTGTGCTGTAATCATAAATATATGGTACTTGGAAAGCCATATGCAACTTGCAGACCAGTGTGAACCTTGGAAATTTACTACAGACTGATTATTGACTGACTAGAGTCATAGTTACTTTATGACTGGTGGTTTACTGTCAGTCAATTCGTCTTGGCGACAAGCCCCTTGAGACTTATGACAAGCAGTTTTTTTTCAATTGCACACTTGCTTTCACAGTCCTTATGTAACATCCTGTCCAATGAGAGAATGGGTGTGTTGTTTCCAATTGCTGCTGGCCCTCGCCAGCGCAGTCATTTTCAGGACAGTCCCGTGGGACTCATGACCACATTTTGCTGTCTCAAATTCGAGACTCCCTCAACCTGGAAGGCCAGGTCCCCATATTTATATCCCCCAGGAACAGGTTTTCCCAGTTATACCCTCAGGCTTCCTTTTTTATCGCCTCCTATGATTCAAAAGGCTACAATGGAGGTATTTGACCCTACCCCGACATGGGATCTCAATGATTGACTAAAAGTCAAAGTCAGAATTATGACTGGTGGTTTACCATCAATCAGTTCGTCTTGGCATCAAACCCCTTGAGTCTCATGACCACAGACTTTTTTTTTTTTTCATCTGAACCCTTGTGGTAATAGTCCTCACACATCGTCCTCTCTGACGAGATGATGGGTTTGCCTCTTGTGAATATGCTTGGCCTTTTGTCAAGTGTAGGTTTTGCATATACAGTCCTCTGGCAGTACAGGCTTTACAGCCTTGGCATGGACCAGATAGAAAACACTGGGTCTAGAAGTTCCTCAATCGTTCCGTGTGTATCTGTTGCCGTGGGAACATTTAGTGAGCCATTCCCTAATAATGCATGTTTATACTCTCTCTGCAATTCTGGCTTTCAGGCTGTATGTCATTATACATAATACTTTAAAGTAATCTTGGATATGCATAGCTTAAAAAACTCCAGTTTATTATGAAACAGTTGTGTCCAGCACTAGCACAGCATGAGTGCTGTTCACTGAAGTTTCCTCTGTTCTGCAGTCAGAAGTAAAGGGTGAAAATATGACAAGTGGTATAAATGATGGTGTGTGTTACATTTTTGAACATGACACAGTTCACAAATTTCCAGAACTTGTGCAATTTTATGCAATCATCACAAAATTATGAGAGGTAAATTCCGAGATAAAAAACATTAAACTTGATTTTATAGTCATACCACAGTGTCTCAAGTATATAGCATTCTTGAATGTGGACCACACAGTAAAAATTGAATTAAATTTAAAGAAGAGATATAACATAAGAAAGTAATATACTAGAATACTGCCTGTATTCTCTATCCATGAAACCCACATTAGTCAGCTACCTATCAAAGCATTTAGCAGATTTTATGTCGACCCACACCTCTTTGGATGATAAAGTAACTTGCATTATTGGTGTTTGAATCTCTGACTACTAGAATTTATAGCAAATTTTCTGCCTTTTGTTTTTGGTTAAAGAGAACTGCATAAGCTGCATATTTGTTATAAATGCATAAAGGATGTGTCATCTATACTAGAGACACTGATATATGGTAATATAATTTTAATTGTAATTTATCTGGTAAGGTTGCCAACAAGGCAATATTAGCCCATTAATAAATGTTGTTTTCTTGTTCTGCTTTGTTTTATGAGATTAATACTTTGTTTGAAAAAGTATCTTTTAATTTTCAGAAGTGTGTGCAACTTCGCCGACAAGCGGCGGTTGCTTGGTCGGTATAGTTTGTTTGCGGACTAAAACCATGGAATTTGTTTTTGTTGTTTATTTGTGTGGCCATGCAACATTATAGTTTTTGTTACTGTAGTTCTCTTTCATTTCACATTCTGTTGCTAGAACAAAAGACCAGACATTAACAGTATTTGTAAGGTGCTATTACGAGTTTGTTTGTTGTCCTACCGCCACCTGTTGTCTCTTCTGTATCGTGGCATGTAATCACTCTTATACATCAAAATCTCACATTTATGAATTATATTTAGTTGAAAATAATGTTGATAATGCTAAAATAATTGTAGAGAATAATATTTTTTAATTAACATTACGTAGTCACTTTTGTGGCTAGAGTGAAAGTGATGTCAAGCAATAAAAGGTAAGATAATTCAGCACAGAATGTGGTTAGGAATCGAATGGAGCCAGACTTACAAAGACAAAGGTGGAAGCAATTTTTCCATTTGAACAAGACTGATTTTTAGATACTGGTACACATATCTGTTTTTTATTATTCTGTTTTAAATGTTTTTGGAAGGATAATGAGACATTTCCTGGGGTACTGTAGAACAAAAAAAGGAAGTTTGGCAGTTTTTGGACCAATCTCATATACCACTGAATCATCTTTCATTTTGGTAAAGGTTTTGAAGAGGTTGAATCATGCTGATGCTCCATATCTGACTACCATTCCTGATGTTCATCAGAATTTTTGCTACAATTTTATGTTTGTTGTTACTTGCATTTATATGTTTAACACTGAAAGCTATGTTCATTGAACAAGTGAACATTTTTAGGTATGTCTTCATACTTTATTTACTAGGTTTCCTGAACAGACTAAGTCATTTTTAGATAAATCTCACTAATAATACTTTTTATATTTTTATGTTCAGTTTAATATTTCAGAGACCTGAATAGCATTTCATGTTACCAGAATATATACTTGGAGAAATTTCAAGGGAATGATTGTGAAAAGAGTATTTCTTATGTATTTGTAAAACATTATTTTTAGAGGATTTTAAATAGTAATTTCAATATCTTGTGCACATCATTGTAATTTAAGGGATGAAGGAAATGACCACCAAGTTCAGTGTAATGGGTATCAGAAATGAGGAGAAACTCATTTTAGAAATTCTGTTGTCTTTTGAAGGTTGCATGTGGCCTGTATTAAAACATGGCCTCTGCTATTCTGTCAAATGTGCATTTTCTCAAACATTGATAAAATTATAATCATAATTTCATTTGGGCTCCACATTTCTGTTGTTGGTAAGTCTGTCATGGCTGCAAACATATTTCATGATATTTTGCATTGTTACTGAATACTGTGTAAGTCAATAACATGGAAAAATCTGATGAAGTAAAATAACTTTGTTTATGGCCTTCTGGGTTATGAAACCATTAGTTTGGTTGCTGATTACCAGAACTTTATGTGAACATGCTGTCTCCATGTACCCTGAAGATGGAAGCAACTTGTTCCTCCAAAATGCTGGTAACCACCTTCCAGGCTACAAGGTGGCATAACCAAAAAGATCATAATGTAAGTCGTTGCTGCCTTGAAAGTTTCAAATTTCATATAAAATAGTTTCATTTTCTGAAAACTACATACAGTATTCACTTCTTAATGGTCAATGTAGAGGGCAAAGATAAATAGTTTTAACATGGAGGTCAGAACTGGGGGAACTGGAAGAATGTACATTTGCCCATCCTCCCTACATATAATACAAGAGATTGCCCCTTCTCCTCGAGATTTATTCAAATTCTGACTTTATGAAGATACAGAAATTAATGAAACTGGATGGTCATTACCATCATGAAGGAAAAACTGGATCATAAGAGCAATACTATTACATAATAGTATTTTATATTATTTGTTTAGAAGTTTTTTATTGCTCCTGTGCTAAGAAATGCATGCTACAAGAGGGTTCCAAAGAGAATGGGCTAGAAAGTATGCCTGTTACATTGCAATGGTGAGAATTTTTGTGTTTTAAGGACTCACTGATCACTGAACTATGCATAATCAAAGGATTACATTTTATGAAGGTAATGCCATATTAACTGTACTTACTAAATATAATACCTTAATGCAAAAATGTAGTAGAATTTAGTAAGGATATGTACACTGTAAAATTTCAGTATACAATTGTAATTTAACCACCAGTTAGAAACAGAGGCATGTGAATAGGTCTGAGAATTATGGTAATTTTCACTGAAAGGATGGTACACACATGAAAAAATTTTAATCTGTAGAGTCTCATAGAAAACACTGAATTCTGTAGGAAAGTCTTCCTGGGCAGTCACTTGTATCTGGATGGAATGGGTTTCCAACATTTCAGAAATTGTTTGACACTTCCCAGAACATGGCTGATTGTAGTAGAAAACTAAATTACATTTACTTACTTGAAAGCTTCAAATCTTATGAAGTTCAGTCCTCCAGATTTTCATTTACCATTTACCTTAGGCCACTGGAAAATTATTTCACAGGAAGGAAGTTATATCTTCGCAATTTCTGTATTATCATCATTTATGTATGAGGGTAAGTCAATAAGTAAGTTACAAATGGATATAGAACTTAAATAAAGAGTACTGATTTGAAAAATGCTTTTATTTCTCAACATAATCTCCCTGTACGAGTACATTGAGGCACTTGTCCCATCATTTCACAAGCCCCTGAAAACCAACAGCATAAAATTCTTTGCGCTGCTGTCGGAACCGGGCAGTGACTTCCCTCTCTACAGCTCCACAGTCAGGAAAATTTTCAGCCGAAAGATGTTGTTTAAGAGGGCCCAACAAATGGAAGTAGCTTGGAGCAAGGTCGGGGCTATATGGAGGATGCTCGAGGACTTCTCACTTGAAATTTCGCAGTGTCTCATTTGTCTTGTTGGCAGTATGGGGATGTGCGTTGTCATGCAAGAGCAACACGTCTTTGGTGAGGAGTCCTGGTCACTTCCATTGAATGGCCTTATGAA